CAGGGAGGGGGTCCCCGGGGGTCCCCCCAGCCCAGGATCCCCCCCCCTCACCCACCTCTCGTCCGTGGGCACGAGGTGAACGTTGTCGGTGCCGATTCCCAGGAAAGCGGCGCCTTTTGGGATCGAGTAGTGGCTCTGGGGGGAGGGGACACGGGCTGGGGGGGACACGGGCTGAGGGGACCCCAGGGATTGGGGGGACCCCAGGGATCGGGTTTGGGGGGACCCCAGGGGTTGGGGGGACCCCGAGAATCAGGTTTGGGATCAGGTTTTGGGATGACCCTGGGAGCAGATTTGGGGTGTCCCCAGCCCCATTTTCAGGGTTTCCCCAACCCCGTTTTTGGGGTATCCTCAGCCCATTTTTTAGGTGTCCCAGACTCTTTTTTGGAGGTGTCCCCATCCCATTTTTGAGGTGTGCCCACCCCGTTTTCGAGGTCTCCCCATCCCATTTTCGGGTACCCCCAGCCCCATTTTCAGGGTTTCCCCATCCCATTTTTGGGGTGTCCCCAGCCCCATTTTCGAGGTCTCCCCATCCCATTTTTGGGGTGTCCCCAGCCCCATTTTCGGGGTGTCCCCAGCCCCATTTTCGGGGTGTCCCCGCTCCTTTTCCCACCTCCCTGGACGCGAACAGCGCCAGCCGCGGCAATTCCCGGCTCCCTTTGCTCCGAGCCTCCGGGAAGCGCCGGAATCGCGCCACGTTCATCGCCAGCATGTTGGACATGGAGCCCCCTGCCCCAAAAAAACGGGGGCGAGTCAGGGACCCCCCAACCTCACCCCAAAACCCCCCCGGGAATGGCGGCTTTGGGATTTTGGGGGGTACCGGGAGCGAAGATCCCGTCGCCGCCGCTCCACCCCACGAGCTCCCGGAGCTTGGCCAGGACCTGCTCCTCCAGCAGCACCAGCACCGGGGCCACCTCGTACGTGTACCTGGGGGGGCACGGCACGATTTTGGGGGGTCCCGGGGTCTTCTGGACCCCAAAATCCTGCACCGGAACCCCAAAATCCTCCCCAGGCAACCTCAGCGTCCCAAATCCCTCCAGCAGCACCAGCACCGGGGCCACCTCGTGTGTGTGCCTGGGGGGGCATGGCAGGATTTTGGGGGGTCCCGCCCCCTCCCCCGGGGTCTTCTGAACCCCAAAATCCTGCCTCTGAACCCCAAATTCCCCCCTGACAAGATAAAATCCTCCCCAGGCAACCTCAGCATCCCAAATCCCTCCCGCAGCACCGGGGCCACCTCCTCCGTGTACTTGGGGGGCGTGGCAGGATTTTGGGGGGTCCCGCCCCCTCCCCGGGGTCCTCTGAACCCCAAAATCAACCCCCGAGGTACTCTGAACCCCAAAATCCTGCACCGGAACCCCAAAATCCTCCCCCTGGAACCTCAGCATCCCAAATTCCTCCAGCAGCACCAGCACCGGGGCCACCTCGTGTGTGTGCCTGGGGGGGCGTGGCAGGATTTTGGGGGGTCCCGCCCCCTCCCTCGGGGTCCTTTGCACCCCAAAATCAACCCTCGGGGTCTTCTGAACCCCAAAAACCTGCTCCTGAAGCCCAAAATCCTCCCCCCGGAGCCTCAGCATCCCAAATCCCCCCAGCA